CGACAAGGTCCGTGAACTACACTGATTAATTTATTACCGGAGAAATCTCCTCTCACTAAGCAGAGAGTCTGAGAGAATTCGCCAAAGTAGTATTAAGTTTATTTAAGCGAGAAGAGTTCTAGTTCTCCAACTCCCTCTCTGGTGAGAAATAATACGTCTAAAACACGAGCGGATCCTCTGCTATACGTCACCCAACAAAAAGAAGGAATTTTAATATCTTGTCTCATTGGCTTATGTGGCCAGCCGGACACCGAAACACTAGGTCCACCACAACATCTAGGTTCAGTCTTGCATTCATGCAAAATCAGTAAGCTTCATTCGCGCGTGGCCGAGTTTACAGATAAGCATAGCCAAAGAAAGTGGATATTATTAATTTATAAAACTCACGATCGTTCAAATCACCACAAGATGCGTACTCAGTCACAATAAAGTCGAGCGAACCGTTTTCAATGTCCGGACCCGCGGCATACGCAGTCAGAATATTTGGGTGATTCAGACGCAACAGCATGTCCAGCTCTTTATAACGTTTCGTGATATCAGTCATCTCGGGAAAACTCTTAACTGCAGCATCCTCTCCTTCAAAAATGCTCTTCTGGACGTACATAGATATGTTCGCAGATGTTGTTGTGGTGCTGACGTTTTTTATCATGTCGTGTAGCAGCGAACAGAAAATCGCGAGAGGATGGGGGGTACCTATGCAAGTAGAAAAGAAATGGAATTGCAATGTAAAACCTAGGAGGAAGAAAAAAGAAAAGTGAGATAATAGTACTCACGCCAGTTCTTAAACTAATATACAATGCCGGGTATACGCTAGAGTTTGGTTGATATGTATCATCGTTGACAAACCCTGAACGCATTGCCCTGGGTCATTTGTCCTGATAGCACTGCCTAGGGCCATTTGGTCCCTATTGTGTGTCAATGCAGCGCTGGGCGGTATTCCGTACGGTGATTGGGGTTAATTACAACCGGTTGTAACCTCCGCCAATTGGGTCACGATTGGCGAAACACCTTATTAGGCCCGTGCACTAGACCCAGCGGGGACATTTGGACCCTGCGCAGCGAAATGGCATTGCTATCAGTTTTGGTCCCTGTGCTGCGCTGGGCGGTGTTCCGTACAGTGATTGCCTGTGGTTACAACCACCACTCCCCAAAAAGCCCTCAGCGTAGGCACGCAAGCGGGTGGGTGGGTGAACAGGGGATCAACCGAACTGATCAGTTCGAGCTCTCGAGCCGCCACATGGGAACGGGGATGGGGGCCAACGCGGC